GCTGGCTAAATGAAGTTGGCCTAATACTGTGTGTTATATGATGCGAGTTATCAGTGTATGTATAATGCATGCTAGGTGCTGTAACTTGAGTCAAAGAGGCTTACCACAGCCGCAGGGATCCTTCAGATGTGTCTTGCTGATTAATTTGCCGTGCTCCTGGGCTCCATCCCCGGCTTCATCCGCAAGATCAACCGGATTACAGTTAGGCACTGACGCCGGGATGTCATCTGTCTTGCTCACCATGGTGGGCAGTCAGTGTGGCAACAGAAATCCCCCAGCAGCTTAGCTTAAATACGTGAGTCTGAGGAAGAAAATACAAAAATCTGCTTCTCTCCGGCTATCAGCAGGCTAGGTGGCTACATGCGAAGGGTACAAGCTTACAAAAACAAGTCTACTGAGGAAGGACAGTGCTGTACATGGTGCTGATGATCACACGTGGTTTCCTCCTCCCCTTGACCTATTTGCCTTTGCGTTACACTGGTTACACTTCCCCACCCACCGAGCATGGCGCTACGGAAAGCCACTAGAGACAAATCGTTTTTACAAACTCATTTGATTTTTATGGGAAATGTAGATTTTATCTTTAGCACTTGAACATACAAAGTCAACAATGGCTGAGTAGAAAGACAAAGTATAACAATACTATTTCATTTACTTGAGTGATCATTGATAGTTGGATGTCACCAACTGCTAGCTGGATGTCACCAACTGCTAGCTGTTAACCTCCATACTGTAAGAACTTCAGCTCACTGACCAAATTATTATATACAGCTATAGCTTGATTAACCTGCTTGGAGGTATATATGTATACTGTGCAGTATTGTCCATATTAAGTAAGATAAAATAGAATTTACTTATTCCCACGGGAAGTTGTTCTCTGTTTAATCCCTTCACCATCATAAAGTGAGATCAATCGACCCTTCAAAGATACATCATTTCTATTTTTTACCCATATGGTAACTTCAATACTTAGTCAAATTAATACTTAAAATTGTTTTTTAAGTATTCATTTCCTGTTTTTACAACTAGGAAATTTTGAAGCACTTCCACCCTGTTATGAAATAATACAGGGTAATAATCTATTTTGTCCTCCGAAAACAAATAGTCTCTCCCAGAAGGCTCACATTAACATTGATTGATCCTTTACTTTTTTCCTATCATTAAATAATGAACGAGTTCAGAGCAATCTATTCCTCACTACCTAACAAAGACCCAATTTGGGCTTGAAACATACTTTCTGTCAATGTATTAAAGCTGCGGACATGTTGCAGGGTGAATATACAAGTGTTATTGCTCCTTTGGGAGATAAAAGCTCCTTCTCATACAAAAGAATACTGAGAATATGTGTGTGGCCTGAGAGCTTTTGCAGAAAGACTTTTACACTTATACCAATTGCTTTTTACTCATCTGATAATGAAGTACATTGTACATATCTTAAAGGCAATAATAGTCTTTTTCAGAACACTGAATTGCTGTAGAGAGAATGGAAAGAGCTAATTTAAATATATTTTTGTACCATTTATTTTACACCCCGAACCATGTATAAATCATGCAACATTATTTTGTTATATAATTTAATTTGTTGTTGTCGACACAAAAAAATGATTGCGATAAAAAAAATCCAGCTCCACATTAGGGCTCAAATAATTGATTGTTTGAATGAGGTTATGGCTAACAATTATTCATTATTTAATCAACTATAGTTTGGTTTATTAAATGTAAGAAAATAAGAAAAAATGCCCTTCCCAGTTTCTGTAACTACAAGGTGATGTCTTTAAATGTTTCGTCAGTCCAAACCCAAGAGATGTTAAGTTTTACAAGAACAAAAAACAAGGAAAAGAATTAAATCATCATGATTTAGAGGCTGAAAACAGATTTTTGTATGAAAAGTTGTTTCAATGATTAATCAAATTACTTCATATTTCAATGAAAAGGAAAATAATTTAATTGAACCACCTGCAAAAAAGGTGTTAGAATTTCTCTGGCAAACTTTAAAGCAGCAATAACGAGCAGACAGCAGACTACACAATCCTTCATTTTATTCCAATTATCTGTACAGTAGATCAATATAGGAAGCTAACACAGTATATGCGGTAATCAGTCAACAGTTTATGCTCACCCGAGGACCAAACCACCATTCAACGACCCAGAGCAACGTCTCCATGTTGGGTGCATTATTGCTAGAGACCACATAACACGTCAAACAAGATGCTTCATGGTGCCGCATAAAGTCCACAGACATGTTTCTCTAGGATGCTAAATAAAATGATTGGACCTCAGCCAGGAGAGGAAGAAGCTGCTGACATTTGTTAATACTTTGAGGATTAGGGTTATTATAAAGGCGTTCAGAAAGATGGAAGACGTTAATAAGTTTAAAACAAAATCAGGCGGTGAAGATTTTCTCTATTCAGCTGAAATATTCATGACATCCTTTTTAAGGCATCACACCATTCGTCTTCATTTTAGTTTCAGTGTTGGGCCTCTTTGGCGCATTAGCATTTTCCCTCAGACAAACAATCTCTGGAGCTGCATTCAGCAACCTGAATGTTGCTGTTTAATCAAAGTTGTAACATAGTACCGAAGTATCGCTAAAATGTTTGACATTAGGGTATGCAGGATGTCAACTTATTATGAATAGAGGTGATTGTTCTCTCTATCTCTCTAATCTATCGCCGAGTTTAATCTACCTGCTGTTTGTTTGGATGACGTGGAGTGAGGAAGTCTAACAGTCTCAGTTCAGGAAAATAATATCAGTTTTCAACCAGACAGCTTTGTACTTTTATCCCCTGCCGTCTCAATAAACTTGAGGAAGAATAGTGCACACATTCATGCTTATGGGTACCAGCTGAGAAGAGAATGAAAACCTTTGTCACATTTGCATTTTCGCAAACAGGCTACACTTTCACCCAGGCAGTCTCATGTGGCATAAACATATGCCCTTTTGTTTAAAACTGCTTCACATGCACCACTGATTCCTCACTTAAATATGGCTCCCATAAAGTGTAACATATCAATAATCATTTAAAGATTCAGCAGTGACAATCAACAAAAACAATTCATTTGACAATTCAGAAAAATATTAAGCAACACATACTGAGCTCAACTATTACAAAATACAAAGTTAAATAATCATAAAATCTAATTTCATACCTCAAGTGTCCTTAAACTGGCTGACGTGACATACTAATAATACATAAATATATTGATATATTGCTTTGTTGAGGTTACACTGCTTAAACATAATGCTAAACTTTAATCAGTAGCTGCAGCAGGCAAGAAAAGCCTCACAGCAACTAAACAAAATTAAATTCATTCTTGCAGGAAGGCTCATTCAAAGACACTGATGCTAAGTTGAGTCATGGCTCAAGAATAAATCAACTGTGACACAGCTTCAAAATAACTGAGGTGCCACATTATATAGAGTAATAGAGTTTATATGCAAATCCCAAAGAGTCTTATAAAAGGGTTTCTGAAACAAAAGGGCACAAAACTTTAGTACTTAGAAATGTTCCACACTGTATTTCTAATATCCACAGCTCCTATATTATAAGGCATTCATTACATAAGGGTACTGAATGGAGAAAAGAAAAATAAATAACTTTAAAAAGTATTTCCTACATTAAAATATAGTAGTTTAAAGTGATAATTTGATCTCTCCTATACTGCTTTGTTTTCAAGTTGCTATTCGCTCATTGTAACGCTAGGGGCCACCATATGCATGTGTTTTGATAACACACACACACACACACACACTGCCTGCCCTCATTTACAGTACACAGTCACTCTATAGGTGTTCATCTTGGGTGTGTAAAAGGGAAAAAGGAACAGAATGCAGATAGAAAATGTCAATCCCACTTAAAAAACACACATAAACCTGTAGTCAAGTTTGTGATTATCTGTTTTGCCTGAGGTGAAAAAAGAAACCCCAACAAAATAGCCGAACACAAACTAGTTGAAGAAGTAGTGCTGCGTGTGTTTAGTTAGTACACACACCACACCTGAGTCTAACGCATGGTCCAACACGTCACAATCTGTCTATAGAAAGCAGTTACTGCAGAAAAATAAAGCAGCGTTTATGTGCCTCTGTGTGTATATTTGAATAAACAGACAGTCTCAACAACAAATGTAAGACGGAAAGTTTACATGTGGCCAAAATTACTGTCTGATCTGTCCTCCACCGATCAATGCACTTACAGAAACGCAAATAAAACAGGTTTTGTCAAAGTATAAAGTGATTACTTTTTAACAGCTGCTTTAATAACCACATTTCAAGTTTTGAATGTTCAAATACTCTTTTTTCCTTTTCAGATAGACCTAGAGTCTAAAATAAAGTATTATTGATCTATGGGCAACAGCAAGCACTATAGTTAGTAGAGTTCAAATTGTACCAAGTGTTAGTTTAGTTGCACAAAGGAAAGTAACTATTGGTAGGGCTCGTGTCAAATCTGTTTCTAAAAAGAAATGTGTTTCCTGAAGCGTTGCTCTCTGTTGTTGGGTTTACAATAACGTACAGACAGAGATAAGCAGTCCAGGTTAGGGCAAACGACAGGTTCTGGTTCATTTTTAAAAAAACAAAATGGTTGGGGATATTGCTGACAACACCCGAGTTGTGTCCTTATAAATAAATTGTCATGGAAACCTACTGGAAAGGTATAAATATGTGTAATAAAGACAGAACTGATCTACTGTTGTATTGAAAGTTAATCGACTGTCCTTTGTATTTATACTCTTTGTATTATCACAGGAACACACCTCCTTTCAGTCAAAAATGTTTCACCGGGAGGACTCGAACATACCGCTTCAGATATGTCAGCTGTGCCTCAGTCAGGGGCCAAACAAATGTTTGGTCACATGTTTGATTTATGGTAGGCCTTGAAAGCTCACAGCTGGGCCGTTTCTCAATGTCGAGTAAACCTGCTGCAGAGCCACTATTTCAAGTATACTACATCATCGAGTGGCACAGAAGGACTGTTTAAATGCATGTTAAATGCCCAGCATTCTGTGCCACTCTATGACGTAGTATACTTGAAATAGTGGCTCTGCAGCAGGTATGCTCGACATTGAGAAACGGCCCTGGTTGGGCTTGTAGTCCTTTTTAAAATGGCCGCTCACCATCAACAAATGTCCAAAAGAGGTGGCTTTGAAATAAGGCCCCACAGTATACTGAGCATGTGACACCAGTGTAAACAGATAATTCATCTAAGACTGACTTAAAGTGACACTTTCTGAGTTTTCTTTGCAAGTTATTTAGGGTTATATCAAAGTCCATTTAAAAAAAGTGACTACAATAAGTGTAATATAATAATTCATGAGCTAAAACTAGTCGCAGTATCAATTCAGTCAAGGTGCAGAACAGTTACCAGCATTAACAGTCTCAGATGATCATACAGTGATCAAACTGTAGTTTAAAGTGCAGGCTTTAGTACTCGCTAATCTGCCTTTGTCTCAGCAGCAGGGGGCGCTGCCGCTGAAGACAGCAGTCTGGCAGCTCCGCCCTGAGGCTCCATCGGCCCTTCACCACCTCCTTCTTCCTCATCCTCCCTCTCCAGCCCCAGTGGAGCCTGTCTTTGTGCCACAGCGTGCCTGGAGCGGGCCCTGTGCCTGCGAGGGTGGAGGAAGAGTGCAGGGTCCGGCATGGCTGTGGGCTCAGCGGGGCCCGTCACTTTCTCTATGGGAACACACTCCCGGGAACGCTCCACTCTCAAAGACGACCTGACGCTTTTACGCTTGGGTTTAACCACGGGAGAGGAAGGGGAGGCTCCTGAAGGCCTCTGAGGAGAAACAGAGATCTGCGCGGCACAGTACTGGGCCCCCTGACTGTTGGCCCGTGCGAGGAGTCCCTGCCTCTGCTGCATTCGCTGGTGGTGCAGTTTCTGGCGGGCACCATGCAACTGGAAGGAGAGGTACGCTGCTGCCTCTGTTTGTTTCTGCAGCTCCGTGTTCAGGATGGTTGAACAGTGGCTCCGGTGTTTCAGCTCCTCCAGGAAATTGCGCTCCTTTTCCTTGAGATTGGCTCTGAGGACTCCCACCAAAGCCCCTTTGTGACTCAGCTCCTGACGAAGCTCTCCAAAGGTGCACTCCTCTTCGTCCAGACGGCTTTCCACGTCCCAACAGCGGTTCTCCAGCAGCTCCTCCTCCTCCTGCAACTCTGACACACAGAAGGACCAGAAATGTAAACAGACCTATAGGTCTAAAAATAAGAGTTTCTATATATGTGTAACTGAAAAATAGGCCTACATTTGGGCATACATAAATACATTGTGTACCTATCTTTCAAGAGATGAAGAATTACCGAGGAGTAAAATGAGTTGAATGCGCTATCCACAACTCTACATTTTACAACAAAATAAGCACTTGTATATGCAAACCCTAGACAGCAGCACATACACAGTTTAAACACGTGTATGGTATTACCCTGGAGCAGTGGGTTACTTATCTCGCAAAACTGAGCATTTGTCGTGCCGCACAAGCTCTAATCCCATGCACATTATAGAGGCGATGCCTCCTGTGCTAGAAAACAGACATAAACGTTGGAGTCACTGTTGACTAGCCCTGGAAAGGTTCAGCTAAGAGATTCATTATTTTAAATTGGAAGGAGTGTAAACCATGTTCTTATTTGTGACTGGAGGAACACACGTATCTGCTGAACATGGGTCGGCCACATTGCCTGTTAAAAGACTTTGATATTGGTATTGCTGTCTTTTGAATGTCTCTGCATAATGTCTGATAAAACAGATTGTCCTGATCATATGCTGTCTTTGAGTCACACTATGAAATATGGAGTAGTTAATGAGGCCAAGTCTGAGAATTTGGGATATCACCAAATTGCTCAAATAGTTTGAAACAGATACTCTAAAAATAGAAACATTTAGTTGCATAAGTGCTGTATAGGAGCTGGAAATTACAGTAATCTCTATCCCACTCCAAAATGACAGCCCGCTGAGTAGTATTTCGTCTTAATTCCCTTCATGCTTAGGGATTTGTTTTAAGATGGACTCAAACTATACACATTCTTATTGTAAATTAATAAAACAGTCACATAGCATCCAAAATGATTTCTAAAATTCTTTGAAATAGCAACTCAAAAATCCTTTCAATTTGGACTTTGCATTTCTGTTCTCATGGAAATGTTCAATATCTAAATACATTTTGCATTATGGAAGGGGGAAAATGTGAAAACATGAAAGCATAAATCATTCATCAGTAGGTTGAAGGAGAGAGAAAGCCAACCAGAACAATTTTGTTGTAGACATCTATTATTTGTATACATAGAGCAAGGTGCAGGCATGCTGCACCACAGATCAATAAGACACCTGTGTTTTATATATTTATATGTGATACAAACAAAAAAATTCCACTTCCTCAATGCCATAACATCAACTACATTTCTCTAAATAGGAAAAACCACCACTTGAGGCCTCCTTTCACCATGAACTTCAACCTCACCAAGGTCAGATTTAATGCTGAAGTCTGCTTATTATTTTTGCTTCTGTAGACAACATGTATGCTCTGAGGCACATCCCCCAGAGGAGAGGGAAGTATGAATGAAAAGCAATGCAGCAACCTCAGGGCTGACTTAGTGGAGGATTACATCCACAGGAGCTGGCACTGAGGCCTCTGCAGATAGAAATAGGTCAGGTTTTCAGGGCAGGAAACTCCCAAAGGCTGCAGGGAGGTTTGGTGTGGCCTGCAGGTGAAACTATGATCCATATTAGGCTTCATACATGGATAACACCTTTGAGTTTGATGCTGCTTCATCTTATGCTTCATTTCATTTCCCTTGATCTAGCTGTCTCTTATTTTCTGCCTATATAACTTTTCTTTATTGTACTGAGTGATACTTAAGCTTGTTCTATTTCCCATATCCATCCTCAATCTCCCATTTGTCTTCCAGGATGAATCCTCTGAGGAACGATCAGTCTCAGGTTTTCTGTTGCCCATCACCACACCCAGGTTGAGCTCATATGCTAAGTATAGACTACAGTACCTAATGTGATCTTAATATCCTTCCATACGTCTCCTCCACGTCTGCAGCTGACCGCATCCTGCCGCCTTGTCTTTTCCCCTTAATCGCCCTCTTTGCTACCTCTTAATACCTCTCTCCTTCCACCTCTTCCTCTCTCCTTTTCCTGGCTCTACGTCTCTCTTGTTCTCAGCAAAGTCTTGTAAATGGACCCTCCCTCTGGGACGACAAGGAAAAACGAGAGCAGGGAAAGAAAAAGAGGATGAATCAATTTGTCAGGGTGGGAGGAGAGCAGAGCGCCGTGCTGTATTGATGGATCTGGGGATAACCTGTCCTGGAATAGGAGATGGGGTCTAATGGCTCAGTAATGCAGCCAAACACGAACCCCCCACATTAATTTCTACAAGCACACACACATTCACACAGCCTTTTGACTTCTATTCCCCTGCTCTGTCTCTAATTTGGTGTGACAAAATGGTGCCTATACTGCTTCCCTGCATCCAGACAACACTGACAGTCTTTGCAGCTGTCTGCATCGGCGAGGGTTGACTGATTTTAAGAGAAATATTGAATAACTGTGAATATTTTTGACTGATGTTGTAATTTCTTTACAATATTCGGGGAGCTAATATATTTTTTACCAAACATTTTGGATTTATTTAGTCTATAGAATATACGATGTGTGTAAAATGTACTCCATTTATCCATTTCCATAAATTCTCATACATTTTCCGCCCTAGCCTTTTTATAGTGAGAATGTGCAGCTCCCCTTTAGCGCTGACAAATTATTTTGTATTTAAACCAAAGAAACACAAATACAGCCATGAGAGACAGAGAGATAGACAGAGAGAGAGAGACAGAAATGAGGAGGAGGGTGGCTGACAGGGATCCATTCCCTGGGGGATGGGAGGGTGGAGAGGACAGACGGTGGCAGAGAGGGATGCAGGCTGTGGCGAATAGGGGGTTGAGGTTGAGTGCGGCCAAGACAAACAATCCCAAAGAGATGCAAACATGTCTGTTTTTCTATCTTAAGTGCAGAATGAGAGAAAAATATGTTTTTTTTTTAACATACCTATTGGATTCCTTCCTTGAGGCTTCACCTCTAGATCACTTGTCAACTCTGAAAAACACAAAACCACAGGAGAGAGCAGTTACACAAGACAGAAATACAGTATCTCAAAAACACATGACTTAAATGCAGACGTTGAGATGTCTTATTAAAGCTGTATGCTGATATTTTTCTGTGTGCTGCATAACAGATGCTTGATGCAGTTTCCAGCATATTTTGATTGGGCTCATACATAATTTATGAAGCTAAATCTGAAACTTTACATCATTAGGCGCTTTCACACTGCAGTACTTTTCCCACAAAGTTTCATGAGAACTCTTTAGTTCTCATGAACTAAATTCAGATCGCGTTCACACCGGAATAAGTCCCTGGGGGAGGATTAGGCAAATTAAGCCGCTGACGTCACTTCTTCTTCTTCTGCTTTGGGTTTACTGGCAGGCCCGCAAACCAACTTCCACAACGTACTGCCACCGAAGTCCCCGGCCGGATTCCCCGGAGCTTGGGGACTGGGCTTCAGTAGAAAGCTGCTGGGCTCCTCTAGGGTGGCCCCCGGGGGCATGCTCCCCCGGGAAGATTTTTTTAAAATATTGAAGGTTTAAAATGCATCAACCTGGTTCACTTTGAGAGCAAATGAATTTATGGAACATCTCCTCAACCCCCATATGAAACAGAACTGTTAAACAGCATTTTTCTTTTTCTCTATGGATATTTTACAAATCACTCACCTTTTACAACTGTATTCTTGTTTTACTGTCATATAGTATTTCATAACTGTTTTTCATGTATTCTCATAAATGGTGACCAAACATTTGATACCCCACATGAGATAACTAGACTAAAGTTAAACTATCTAAACAGAGTCCCTTACCTCCACTGAGTGTAGTTTATCTCCAGTCTGACAGGTACAGAGC